GCGCCGATTGGCCGCCGTGCAGCCCGTGAGGGGACGGCGTAGTGATATCCGGGCTGCGAGACCAGCGGCGGCCCACAGAGAGCCTCGCAGATCGAGAAAGACACGGTGGACTCCATTGCTGTCCCGAGTGCGTTTCTCGCCGGACTTGGTGTCGCCCGTTACTGCGTGTCTGCTCCGCGCCGCTCGTGCACGTCGAACAAGTTTCAGTCCCCGCCCGGCCCGATTCGGCGAGCCGACCGACCGACGTACCGGAGGTTGTGATTAGGTACACTCTTGTTGTCCAGTGTGCGGGGTAAACGCGTGTGTTAACGCGGCCGGAGTCTTCTCGCGCGTGACCGGGACGTGAAAAGATAAGAGAGGAGCCACGATGGTAAGTACACCGGCGGTTTGTGCCGCGAGACTCTACGGCGACTCGTTCCGCGTGTTCGTGCCCGCGCTGACGCGTCGCCGAGCGCACGTGCGACGAGCGTAAAGCGTAAGAAATGCGCAATTCCTTTTCTCGCCCCCATCTTTCTCACTCGTGTCTCGTCCGTCGGCAGGACGGATTTCCTTTTCTGGAGGGAACCTCTCGTTCTCTCTCCCTCTCCTTCTCCCTCTCTCTCGGTCGGCCGTTTATTGTCAGCCTCGTCGGTCGAAGCGTACTTCGCTCATGCCGCCCCGGAGACTGCCCCGACTCCCCGCGGTTATCGATCCGGCATGGCCGTCTATACTTGTTCGCGCTCCTCGCCGAGCTTCTTCCGCAGCAATGAGGAAAATCTGCATCCGCGCGCGAGCGGAAGTAACGGCCGATCGATCGGCCGTGTGGGGAGAAGAGAGACACGTACGCGCGGGGCGCGCGAGAAAGAAAGCCGAGAGAAGGGAGCTTGTCGAAAATGGTCTCCGACGCCCTTTCCCTCTCGCTCCTCGCTCCGCTCGCCGGCGGAGTATTTCTATACTTTGGAGCTCTCGTTCGCTTTTTTCCCTCCGATCCGACGCCGCCGCCGCCGCCGCGACGTGTCTGCTCCCCCCCCCCCTCCGCCTCGCGCGCGTTCGCGACCGGCTTGTGACCGGCGGTACGTTACAGAGACGAGACAGGTGGGCGATGGTTTGTCCATCTCGCCCATCTCGCCCGCCGCATTGTTCGTCGCGTCGCTCCCGCAATCGCGTGCCCTCTTGGACTCGTCGAGATAATCGACGGAGCGCGCCGCGCAACGGTTATCTTCTCGCCGCTCGTCCGTCCGTCCATCCGTGCGTGCGTGCGTGCGTGCGTCCGCCCGTCCGCCCGTCCGTTCGCCCGTCCGTCCGTCCGCTGCTAAATTCACGGCCTTCGCGCGCCCGAGATCGAAACGCCGCCGCAAAGTTGCCTGTCCCGCGACCCGCGGGGCAGCTGCACCTTCTGCACTCGTTATATATACACGTATTTTTTCTCTCCACTAGCACGCAGCGCCTCCGCTGCTTTTCTTACTCATTTCTTCGTTACAATTTCATATATAATTCTTCATACAAACCACGAGTGTGACGGTTACAACAATTTAGAGAAATTAATATAAAACTTAAGTGTCGCGTCATCACGCGAATGCGACACACATCGGCCGGCGAGACTCGCAACGGCCAATCGGCATTGCGGAAAAGCGGCAACAATACGAGAACGCACTTGGGGCGTTTTATGCCTTTTTTATTATAGAGAGAAGAGAAGGAGGAGGAAGGAGAGGAGAAGAGAATAGAGGAACCGGGTGGGAGGGGGAGAGAGAGAGAGAACGCGCGGAGTATGTGCAAGTTTGTCGCGGCCGACGGGAGGAATGTCCGATTCTCGATCGATGATGCATCCGCGTTCCCCGCGCGCGCGACTCTCACGATCGAGGAGAGGACGGTGTCGTTATCGCGCGGCGCGATCCCTTCTTTCCTTGGATCGCGGCCGGAGATAGATACCTATCGGAGCACGAAATACGGGGCGAGCGAGCACGAACGCTCCTTTTGCATAATCCATACTCGGGGTCGGCCGATACTCATCTTTAAGGGCGCTGCCGGGAGCGCCGGGGTTTCTCGCGTAACGACTAACGACGGTACACATATCTCTCTCTCTCTCTTCTTTCACGCGATGCGTGCGACTCGGTGTCGGTGTCGCACCTCTATCCGTCCGGCGATCAAACGTTACGGCGATACACGGTCGCGCGCTATTGATTTTCGCGCTCCCTCGCCGCCGTCGCTCCTTTTACGTTCCCTACGGCGCCCGCCGTAACCCGTTACGCCAGCTCGCCGCTCGTCTTCCCCCCCTCCCCCCCTCCGCGCGCGCGAGACGGCGACGGAGACGTTTCGTCCCTTCTCCGTGAAAACTCGCCCTGCCCGACGCGCGACGCGGCTCTCGCCGGCGCGCCATGTTTCGCGTTTGCGACGTCGGGGAAAGTGAGGTTATCCCGCCGGAATGAGAGATCCCACGTCTTCGGACGCGCGGCTTTTGTATCCCGGCGATCGAGTAACGTCGAACGCCTCTCTCCACCCGCTGCCCGTTAATTTCTCCAAGAATGCCCCGTTCGGCCGCGCGGGAGCGTAAACGCGCCCCTCGGAGGCTTACGCAGGTCTACCGAGAGAACGACGGCGATAAAGATAGCCCGGTGGGAAAAGGCGTGCAATAAAGACCGCGCTCTTAAAGCTGCGATAGCACAATTTACGATATGGACCGTCTCGTGTGCGGAAAATCGATACGTCGCGGTGAACGGCCGCTAAATCAGCACCTGTCTGTAATTAACGTCCGGGAATAGCTCGCTAGAGTCGTAAAGATGCCGCGTTGTCGCATTTTTTTCCCGGCGAGCCGCGAGCAAAACGACTCGGCGGAAGGAAAAAAAAGGGAGAATTCGACGTGCGCGCGCGCCCGCGCGTGCTTTGGAGAAGAATCAAAATTTATTTTTACTGCGCGCGCGATGCGCGTACAGCCGCGGGCGAATCTCGCGGGTCAATTACGCGGCCGGCCGCCTCGTTAATATTCGCGCGATCCTCGGCAAGTAGTCTGGGAATTGCTTATTTATGCGGCGGCCAATTAAACGCGCGCGGATGCATCACCGGGCTATTTCCGCCTGTATTATCATGCGCCGCGTTACTTGCATTCGCGTTATTCGGCGCGTTTACGTTTACCGGGCTCGTGCGACCGAGATTTCTCGAGATAGCTCCGACAATTACGATCCGATAATTACCTTGTTTTCGCTGCGTCACCTAAAAGGGAGTGGAAGGTGCCTTTCAATAACAACTCCGGAATTGACTTGGCGCGAAACGTTCCGTGGGCTGAGATAAACATTTAATCGACGAAATGTATAATGCAAGTGCAAAGATAACGGATGAGAGCTAGATGAACCGCCCGAGTAGAAATGAAATCATGCATGCCTTATGTATGGATCAATAACCTGAATATACTTTTGATGACTATGTAATTTAACACAATTTAAAAATTAGTTGAAAAAATTGAATTTTTAAATAGGAAGCCTACTGATACCCACCCGGCCTATTAATTGTAGGGCGCAGCAAAGGGCAAGTCTTGATAAGGAAAACCCCATCAGGCAATTTTAATACTAAAATTTCTACTCGGGCGTGTTCCACGTTTATGCCACATATGTAATAATAAGAGAGAGAGTTGGCTACAATTTTATTGTTGAACTTTTAAGGCTGACCAACTCACAGAGGAACAAATCGCAGAGTTTAAGGAGGCGTTCTCGCTATTCGATAAAGACGGCGATGGTACCATAACCACCAAAGAATTGGGCACGGTCATGCGGTCCCTCGGTCAAAATCCCACAGAAGCCGAACTACAGGACATGATTAACGAGGTAGACGCGGATGGTACGTATCCTTGTGTAACTCTCTGTCGCGTGCCGATTGTTATCACACTGATAACAGCGTGTGTTTATGTTTCCTGGAGGAGTCGCCTTTTCGTTCTGCCGCGACAATTTCCTCCCCTCGTTCGGAGAGGAAAAGAAACGGCTCCGGCGGAATTGGCCTTGTAAAAAGCTGTGAAATTCTAGGTAACGGCACAATCGACTTCCCGGAGTTCTTGACCATGATGGCGCGTAAAATGAAGGACACGGATAGCGAGGAAGAGATTAGAGAGGCCTTCAGAGTGTTCGATAAGGATGGAAATGGTTTCATATCCGCGGCGGAACTTAGACACGTCATGACAAATCTGGGCGAGAAACTCACTGATGAGGAAGTAGATGAAATGATACGGGAGGCCGATATCGACGGCGACGGCCAAGTTAACTATGAAGGTTCGTCTCTTAATTATTGTTGCCGATGTCTACAATTTTTCAAGTATACGCGGATTATGACGTTAAAAGCGAGCAACATTTTCAAACACGCCAGACAATTCTTACATCCACGTAAGCTCGAATTTGCGTCATTACAATTGCGCGATTCAACAATTCTTAACGAAGCGGTTTGCGCAGTTGGTTCACATGTATCTTCTCGTAATTTGCCTCGCTTTTGATGTCACGATAAGAGAACTCTGTTTACCTTTTACCTACCAACAACGTCGTTGTTTTCTCGTAGTTTGCTAGCATAATGGCTTAAACGTAAACTAACGAGACTTGTTTCGTTGCATTTTCCAGAATTCGTCACAATGATGACATCAAAGTGAATGCAACCTGTGTAACGGAAGAACTCGCGACTCGGAGTGGTGTTGACGTAATTAAATAAATCAAGAAACAGAAAAAAACATGTAACAAAACGAGAATCAACCGGAAAGTGACAAATCTTGTATCAGGAAGTACGAAGATGTCTATAAAAGCGCGAAGAGTCAACGTCCGATACCGCGTTAAAATCATCGTTTAACGATAAGTAATACAGGGCAATTAATTGTTTAATTAAAGAGTTATACCACTAAAATCATTATCTCTCAAAACACAAATATTTACGCGTGTATACAAAACACACACCCACACACGTACGAACGCAACACGCTCCAAGAGTATACACACGTACAAACACTCATTACATATACACACATTTCACTCGGGTGTCCTTATTTCCATTGGATAAAGCAAATTTGGAAATGAGATAAACGCGAAAACACGATTGCGCGCGCATGTGCACCAACGACAAAGGAGAAAAAAAAGTGCATTTTCCACTTTCCTCTCTTTCTCGACTGCCCCCCTCCCCCGCCCCGCCCCGCCCCCGCCCCCCTCTCCTCTTATCGCGTTCTTCGGCACCACCTTCCCCTCCCCTGCCCCTCGTTACCCACCTCATCACCCTCTCATCCTCCTTCGTTTCCCCGCGAGTTTTTTCATGAGAAAGGCATGTCGAAGAATTGTAATTTCTCTTTACAAAGGGAGAGGAAATGTGTGCGTTAAGGGACAAAGTATAAATCCGATGTAAGATAATATTAAAAGCAGCAAAAGTTTATTTGCCAATCGAGAGTAAGATTCATCTCGAGAATTCCTTCGTTAATTTTTTTAATAAACGAGATACGTGTATAGTGAATGATGACATTAGGGTACGTAGCTGCTAAATAGATGATGATGTCTCTACCGTTAAAATGCATGCACATGTACAAATGTTTGTTTGTCTCTGTGAGAGAGAATTCGGCCTGGACCGATCGTTTTCCAGACAAAGAGAGAAAGAGAGCGAGCGAGCGAGCGAGAGAGAGAGAGAGAGAGAGTATAAATACGATGCGCTTCGGCCTCTGGGTTATTGATGACGACTTTTATTGCAAAAGCTGTGCTGGACCCCTCGATGCCTCACAAACGAATAACTTAATTTATATAAGTAACGAGCGAGAAAATTTGTAAAAAAAAGACGAAAGAGAGAGAGAGCGAGATAAGGTAGAGGAGATAGAATCGGAGGAGGAGGAGCCTCGAGGAGCTCAGACCTAGTGCTTTCGCGTGCGTCGCGTTTCGCGAAATCCGTTGGGTGGTTGTCACGGGAACGCGAACGACGAGTCGCGACGCGATCGTTAGAAAGCTCCAGGATCCGAAGTCTCGACATTCCTATTTGAAGAAAAAAAAAAAGAAGTCTCTTCCTTACGCTTTCAATCAACATCATCCAGCCTCTCGTGCTCGTGCACACGGGACTCACACGTACACGTATGTTTTACGAACTAACGCGAGAAACTATACACACGAAAGATTATACACACAGAGTAAAAGATAAAAAAAAAGAGAAACACTATAATATTATATTCACAAAGTGCGTTTTGCCTCCAGTTCCATTTTAATCTCCTATTTGTAAAACTTGCCTTCCACTCTAAGGAAAGCCTTACATACATGCGCGCAAAAAAGATACAAAAACGGGAGGAAAAAGAGAGAGAAACAACGTCGACACCACTTTTGTTGATATGTAAATCTATGGAGAAATAAAATAGGGATAGGGGATTAAAGGAAGTAAAGACCACAGTGAGATCGGTGCATTACTTTTCTTCGCCCAGGGGTGCGTGCCAGTCTCGTAAAAACAGAGCCAACCAGATCGGAGAAACTGGTGTGATTTTTGTGCGATCCGTACAATATAATGTTACTTAAGAACGCGAGAGCAAAGAACATAAATGCCGTACAGCGTAAACATCATGCGTGTCGGTGGTTCAGTCATAATATATATGTAATATATATATATATATAAAATAATTTACGAAGAAATTAAGAAAAAAAGATGAAAGAGATAATTCCTCCACAGTCCTTTATTATTTAATATCGAAGTGAACAAAATGAGAAGTACTTGTATTTCTGGTGACCTAGATCGCATTGATCATTAACGAAAAAAAAGGAAAAAAAAAGATAAAAAGTAAAAAAGACAAAATAAATGTATATCCTCATTTTTAGGTCACAGCTACTCGATTCGTTTCCTTCATTACTAATGGACCTCTCGTTTCAGCAACCATCTCTTTTTGTGTTCGATGGCATCTAGATACTTTGCTATGAGAATATTTCATTGTGTATCTGTGAACAGGATCCACTTAACATATCTCTGACTTTTCTCGCTACCCTCGAAAACTTTTTGAGAAGAATAGATATAGGTTACAAGAAAGTACGGTATTAATTGTAATTAGGAAATCTCGCTCCCCATTAAACATCCGAAAAAAAAGCTAGGGGGAGAGAAAAAGAGAAGCACACATTGGGTCTATTTGTAAAACTGTGGTTATTCTGTGTCCGAGGTATATTTCCACACTTACACTTTATTAAGAATGAGAAAGATTGTCAACAACACACTCGTTTTGTAAAAGTGATCGTTAGTATTCGACAGGCATCTGTATCTAAATGCTTCCAAATCCGCTTCGTTTCATCGAACACTGATACCTAGCGATTAAGTCTCTTACGTTACAAAGACTCTATTCCAGTATTTAATATAATAGTAATTTTATATCCGTATCGCAAAATCTATTTATTGAGAGAATTTTCGCGCGCCGAGGATAGGTAGAGAGAAAGCGAGAGAGAGAGAGAGAGCGAGAGAAAGAGTGGCGCATGGAAGCTCTTGTTGTGAACGTTAACATCGAGGCAATGCCAAATCTTTACCGAATAATATTGAAGCGTTAGCTCTTCTAATATTTAATTTAGCGTCCCCTCGATCTTTGTTATTGAAATACACGTTGTTGTTCTTAAAAAAAAACAAACAAATCGTTTATACCGTATTTGCGGAGGTACCAAGACACATCCTGCTTCTAAGGAAACGTTGTATTTATTTGTATGTGTACATACGAACGTAAAAGTTTTTAATATGAGCAAGTTGCGCTACAAACAAGGTGAGAACGTTGTACGTTGCAAAGTGAGGAGATTCCTTTTCTATCAGATTATTTCCAACGACAGACTCAATGCTCCTTTGTTTCTTTCTATTACTTTCAACGTAGTAATTCGATTTATAAACGCTCCTTGATTTCTCAAACTTTTAATTCGAAAATTGTTTCTAGTGTATGTAAGTATATTCTCTGCCGTATCTCAAAGGCGTTCTTCACTTCTTGTCGTACATAAATAAAGCGGCACAGTTTGTATAAAGTGTTGATATTAAGTTAATAAATTGTTCCTATATACTTATATGGGAGCAAACTGGTGTTTATCTATAATACAAGCGATTTTATCTCCCCGACAAGAAAACAATAACGACCAAGTACATCTGATGTGTGCGGGAAAAAAAAGACAACCACGGGATATCTCTTGTACATACGCGATTACGAGCCAACTTAACAACTGCGCCATTCTGTGCAATTATGCGCCTACATCGAGAGATAAATGCGTGTTATTTTCGTCTGATTACGCCTCCGGCAATTAACGTAAAGTAACGTGCCTTACCGAGAAGCAGAAGAAGGGGCAACAATTTTCCTTTTTGTCTTTTGTTGAAAAATACTATATTTTCCACATGTCACCTTTTCTTTTTAAACTCGTGTAACATAATAACAAAATTCGATGATTACGTAGATATGTCTTTGCTAGCGGCGAACAATGCGTGCTCTCACGATGCACACTCTTTTGGTGTAACTTTGAAACGCAGGCACACCTCCTTGAACAAGTTTTTCAGTATCCTCACCTGGTGTTCGGAGCTCTGAAAACACGTATCGCTCGATCAGTTTCGGACGGTGCCGTTGCGTCGTCTTTTATTTAGTTGGTCACAAAGCGAGCACTCACCCCGTCGAGAGTAATCGTCGGTATAAAAGACACCCGCGGTGCAAGGGAATTGGTCATCTCCCCGTACTTTGCCAAGAGTTCCTTCCCCCTTTCGGTATTCGTACACTCCTTTAGGGAGTCCAGGTCCACGGATATGCGCCTGGCGCACGTATTCATTATTCCTATCGGGTCAATGTTATTCTCTATCATGCAAGCCACAAATTGCAGTCGCACCGATGGGTCCTCAATGACGTCGATGGAGCAAGCGTGCACGATGTTTGCCTGGCACTCGATCGGCCCGTGCTGGCACACGAACTGGTACCCATCGTTCGTCTTTGTCGTCTGTATTGGAAATGGAATATGTAACTTTAGAGGTAGCCTGCCAGCCGTCTCATATTTCAGTCGCGTTACTTGATCGAACTGCAATAACACGTAACGCACTTACCTTCGCCTTACCGTACGGTACCAGTTGGATCTCCATGTTTGCCAGGAGCTTGCGATACGTCGGGCCTAATTGTTTCAAAACAAAGCTGCGCGAGTCCGGGCATAACGCTTCGTAATAGACGGCCACGTGCACTTTCTGGGGAGCCGGGCCGTCCTCGCTCAGCGGCGTCGCCGCTTGGTCCACCTCAAGTTCTGTAGAAAATTCACCAATTAATTATCGTTCCAAGATATGTCAAGGCCGTAGCCAGAACAAAAATTCGGGGGGGTCTAGTGGGATCAACTCGGCGAACCAAGGAGTATTATTAATATATAAGTTTTGAATTATTTATTAAATGAAAAATTATAGTTAATTAGAAAATAAAATTTAACCGTCTAGATAAAGTCAATATGTCTTCATAGAAATAATAATCATATGTCTCAATAGTGTATCATAAAATGTCTATATACAAAAGTATTATCTCGCTATGAAACATATATTTACTAAGGTATAGAGTTTTTATCGTGTAAATAAATATTTTAAAAGCCATAAATTTATTTAAAACAGTACTTATTTCTGGAAAATAAATATTTACAGTTTATCGCATTGAACATGTTTACTAATATTTGGTTTTTTAAATTTCGGAGGTTTCGGGGGAGGTCCGGATCCCCTTTGGCTACGGCCTTGCGTGACGTGTACACGAACTACAGTGCTTTCAACATTGGGTTTGTTTTCTGTTCCT